TGACACATTCACCCTTCATGAGTTTCTAGCACAAAGGTACGAACCTTCCAACGGAATGAAATGAAACTTTTTGTTCTCTGTTGAAATCGTCTTAGGTCCAAGTATTGTCACATTGTTGTTGAATTGTAAAATAGAAGGTTCGTGTCAAGCAAGAGCGAACAATTTGGTTGTACAGGATTGTTTCATTTTGGAAAAACTGATTTTTCAACAATTGTTAAATACTCGCTGTTTAAAACTGACACATTCACCCTTCATGAGTTTCTAGCACAAAGGTACGAACCTTCCAACGGAATGAAATGAAACTTTTTGTTCTTTGTTGATATCGTCTTAGGTCCAAGTATTGTCACATTGTTGTTGAATTGTAAAATAGAAGGTTCGTGTCAAGCAAGAGCGAACAATTTGGTTATACGGGATTGTTTCATTTTGGGAAAACTGATTTTTCAACAATTGTTAAATACTCGCTGTTTAAAACTGACACATTCACCCTTCATGAGTTTCTAGCACAAAGGTACGAACCTTCCAACGGAATGAAATGAAACTTTTTGTTCTCTGTTGAAATCGTCTTAGGTCCAAGTATTGTCACATTGTTGTTGAATTGTAAAATAGAAGGTTCGTGTCAAGCAAGAGCGAACAATTTGGTTATACAGGATTGTTTCATTTTGGAAAAACTGATTTTTCAACAATTGTTAAATACTCGCTGTTTAAAACTGACACATTCACCCTTCATGAGTTTCTAGCACAAAGGTACGAACCTTCCAACGGAATGAAATGAAACTTTTTGTTCTCTGTTGAAATCGTCTTAGGTCCAAGTATTGTCACATTGTTGTTGAATTGTAAAATAGAAGGTTCGTGTCAAGCAAGAGCGAACAATTTGGTTATACAGGATTGTTTCATTTTGGAAAAACTGATTTTTCAACAATTGTTAAATACTCGCTGTTTAAAACTGACACATTCACCCTTCATGAGTTTCTAGCACAAAGGTACGAACCTTCCAACGGAATGAAATGAAACTTTTTGTTCTTTGTTGATATCGTCTTAGGTCCAAGTATTGTCACATTGTTGTTGAATTGTAAAATAGAAGGTTCGTGTCAAGCAAGAGCGAACAATTTGGTTATACGGGATTGTTTCATTTTGGGAAAACTGATTTTTCAACAATTGTTAAATACTCGCTGTTTAAAACTGACACATTCACCCTTCATGAGTTTCTAGCACAAAGGTACGAACCTTCCAACGGAATGAAATGAAACTTTTTGTTCTCTGTTGAAATCGTCTTAGGTCCAAGTATTGTCACATTGTTGTTGAATTGTAAAATAGAAGGTTCGTGTCAAGCAAGAGCGAACAATTTGGTTATACAGGATTGTTTCATTTTGGAAAAACTGATTTTTCAACAATTGTTAAATACTCGCTGTTTAAAACTGACACATTCACCCTTCATGAGTTTCTAGCACAAAGGTACGAACCTTCCAACGGAATGAAATGAAACTTTTTGTTCTTTGTTGATATCGTCTTAGGTCCAAGTATTGTCACATTGTTGTTGAATTGTAAAATAGAAGGTTCGTGTCAAGCAAGAGCGAACAATTTGGTTATACGGGATTGTTTCATTTTGGGAAAACTGATTTTTCAACAATTGTTAAATACTCGCTGTTTAAAACTGACACATTCACCCTTCATGAGTTTCTAGCACAAAGGTACGAACCTTCCAACGGAATGAAATGAAACTTTTTGTTCTCTGTTGAAATCGTCTTAGGTCCAAGTATTGTCACATTGTTGTTGAATTGTAAAATAGAAGGTTCGTGTCAAGCAAGAGCGAACAATTTGGTTATACAGGATTGTTTCATTTTGGAAAAACTGATTTTTCAACAATTGTTAAATACTCGCTGTTTAAAACTGACACATTCACCCTTCATGAGTTTCTAGCACAAAGGTACGAACCTTCCAACGGAATGAAATGAAACTTTTTGTTCTTTGTTGATATCGTCTTAGGTCCAAGTATTGTCACATTGTTGTTGAATTGTAAAATAGAAGGTTCGTGTCAAGCAAGAGCGAACAATTTGGTTATACAGGATTGTTTCATTTTGGAAAAACTGATTTTTCAACAATTGTTAAATACTCGCTGTTTAAAACTGACACATTCACCCTTCATGAGTTTCTAGCACAAAGGTACGAACCTTCCAACGGAATGAAATGAAACTTTTTGTTCTTTGTTGATATCGTCTTAGGTCCAAGTATTGTCACATTGTTGTTGAATTGTAAAATAGAAGGTTCGTGTCAAGCAAGAGCGAACAATTTGGTTATACGGGATTGTTTCATTTTGGGAAAACTGATTTTTCAACAATTGTTAAATACTCGCTGTTTAAAACTGACACATTCACCCTTCATGAGTTTCTAGCACAAAGGTACGAACCTTCCAACGGAATGAAATGAAACTTTTTGTTCTCTGTTGAAATCGTCTTAGGTCCAAGTATTGTCACATTGTTGTTGAATTGTAAAATAGAAGGTTCGTGTCAAGCAAGAGCGAACAATTTGGTTATACAGGATTGTTTCATTTTGGAAAAACTGATTTTTCAACAATTGTTAAATACTCGCTGTTTAAAACTGACACATTCACCCTTCATGAGTTTCTAGCACAAAGGTACGAACCTTCCAACGGAATGAAATGAAACTTTTTGTTCTTTGTTGATATCGTCTTAGGTCCAAGTATTGTCACATTGTTGTTGAATTGTAAAATAGAAGGTTCGTGTCAAGCAAGAGCGAACAATTTGGTTATACGGGATTGTTTCATTTTGGGAAAACTGATTTTTCAACAATTGTTAAATACTCGCTGTTTAAAACTGACACATTCACCCTTCATGAGTTTCTAGCACAAAGGTACGAACCTTCCAACGGAATGAAATGAAACTTTTTGTTCTCTGTTGAAATCGTCTTAGGTCCAAGTATTGTCACATTGTTGTTGAATTGTAAAATAGAAGGTTCGTGTCAAGCAAGAGCGAACAATTTGGTTATACAGGATTGTTTCATTTTGGAAAAACTGATTTTTCAACAATTGTTAAATACTCGCTGTTTAAAACTGACACATTCACCCTTCATGAGTTTCTAGCACAAAGGTACGAACCTTCCAACGGAATGAAATGAAACTTTTTGTTCTCTGTTGAAATCGTCTTAGGTCCAAGTATTGTCACATTGTTGTTGAATTGTAAAATAGAAGGTTCGTGTCAAGCAAGAGCGAACAATTTGGTTATACAGGATTGTTTCATTTTGGAAAAACTGATTTTTCAACAATTGTTAAATACTCGCTGTTTAAAACTGACACATTCACCCTTCATGAGTTTCTAGCACAAAGGTACGAACCTTCCAACGGAATGAAATGAAACTTTTTGTTCTTTGTTGATATCGTCTTAGGTCCAAGTATTGTCACATTGTTGTTGAATTGTAAAATAGAAGGTTCGTGTCAAGCAAGAGCGAACAATTTGGTTATACGGGATTGTTTCATTTTGGGAAAACTGATTTTTCAACAATTGTTAAATACTCGCTGTTTAAAACTGACACATTCACCCTTCATGAGTTTCTAGCACAAAGGTACGAACCTTCCAACGGAATGAAATGAAACTTTTTGTTCTCTGTTGAAATCGTCCTAGGTCCAAGTATTGTCACATTGTTGTTGAATTGTAAAATAGAAGGTTCGTGTCAAGCAAGAGCGAACAATTTGGTTATACAGGATTGTTTCATTTTGGAAAAACTGATTTTTCAACAATTGTTAAATACTCGCTGTTTAAAACTGACACATTCACCCTTCATGAGTTTCTAGCACAAAGGTACGAACCTTCCAACGGAATGAAATGAAACTTTTTGTTCTTTGTTGATATCGTCTTAGGTCCAAGTATTGTCACATTGTTGTTGAATTGTAAAATAGAAGGTTCGTGTCAAGCAAGAGCGAACAATTTGGTTATACGGGATTGTTTCATTTTGGGAAAACTGATTTTTCAACAATTGTTAAATACTCGCTGTTTAAAACTGACACATTCACCCTTCATGAGTTTCTAGCACAAAGGTACGAACCTTCCAACGGAATGAAATGAAACTTTTTGTTCTCTGTTGAAATCGTCTTAGGTCCAAGTATTGTCACATTGTTGTTGAATTGTAAAATAGAAGGTTCGTGTCAAGCAAGAGCGAACAATTTGGTTATACAGGATTGTTTCATTTTGGAAAAACTGATTTTTCAACAATTGTTAAATACTCGCTGTTTAAAACTGACACATTCACCCTTCATGAGTTTCTAGCACAAAGGTACGAACCTTCCAACGGAATGAAATGAAACTTTTTGTTCTTTGTTGATATCGTCTTAGGTCCAAGTATTGTCACATTGTTGTTGAATTGTAAAATAGAAGGTTCGTGTCAAGCAAGAGCGAACAATTTGGTTATACGGGATTGTTTCATTTTGGGAAAACTGATTTTTCAACAATTGTTAAATACTCGCTGTTTAAAACTGACACATTCACCCTTCATGAGTTTCTAGCACAAAGGTACGAACCTTCCAACGGAATGAAATGAAACTTTTTGTTCTCTGTTGAAATCGTCTTAGGTCCAAGTATTGTCACATTGTTGTTGAATTGTAAAATAGAAGGTTCGTGTCAAGCAAGAGCGAACAATTTGGTTATACAGGATTGTTTCATTTTGGAAAAACTGATTTTTCAACAATTGTTAAATACTCGCTGTTTAAAACTGACACATTCACCCTTCATGAGTTTCTAGCACAAAGGTACGAACCTTCCAACGGAATGAAATGAAACTTTTTGTTCTCTGTTGAAATCGTCTTAGGTCCAAGTATTGTCACATTGTTGTTGAATTGTAAAATAGAAGGTTCGTGTCAAGCAAGAGCGAACAATTTGGTTATACAGGATTGTTTCATTTTGGAAAAACTGATTTTTCAACAATTGTTAAATACTCGCTGTTTAAAACTGACACATTCACCCTTCATGAGTTTCTAGCACAAAGGTACGAACCTTCCAACGGAATGAAATGAAACTTTTTGTTCTCTGTTGAAATCGTCTTAGGTCCAAGTATTGTCACATTGTTGTTGAATTGTAAAATAGAAGGTTCGTGTCAAGCAAGAGCGAACAATTTGGTTATACAGGATTGTTTCATTTTGGAAAAACTGATTTTTCAACAATTGTTAAATACTCGCTGTTTAAAACTGACACATTCACCCTTCATGAGTTTCTAGCACAAAGGTACGAACCTTCCAACGGAATGAAATGAAACTTTTTGTCCTTTGTTGATATCGTCTTAGGTCCAAGTATTGTCACATTGTTGTTGAATTGTAAAATAGAAGGTTCGTGTCAAGCAAGAGCGAACAATTTGGTTATACGGGATTGTTTCATTTTGGGAAAACTGATTTTTCAACAATTGTTAAATACTCGCTGTTTAAAACTGACACATTCACCCTTCATGAGTTTCTAGCACAAAGGTACGAACCTTCCAACGGAATGAAATGAAACTTTTTGTTCTCTGTTGAAATCGTCTTAGGTCCAAGTATTGTCACATTGTTGTTGAATTGTAAAATAGAAGGTTCGTGTCAAGCAAGAGCGAACAATTTGGTTATACAGGATTGTTTCATTTTGGAAAAACTGATTTTTCAACAATTGTTAAATACTCGCTGTTTAAAACTGACACATTCACCCTTCATGAGTTTCTAGCACAAAGGTACGAACCTTCCAACGGAATGAAATGAAACTTTTTGTTCTCTGTTGAAATCGTCTTAGGTCCAAGTATTGTCACATTGTTGTTGAATTGTAAAATAGAAGGTTCGTGTCAAGCAAGAGCGAACAATTTGGTTATACAGGATTGTTTCATTTTGGAAAAACTGATTTTTCAACAATTGTTAAATACTCGCTGTTTAAAACTGACACATTCACCCTTCATGAGTTTCTAGCACAAAGGTACGAACCTTCCAACGGAATGAAATGAAACTTTTTGTTCTTTGTTGATATCGTCTTAGGTCCAAGTATTGTCACATTGTTGTTGAATTGTAAAATAGAAGGTTCGTGTCAAGCAAGAGCGAACAATTTGGTTATACGGGATTGTTTCATTTTGGGAAAACTGATTTTTCAACAATTGTTAAATACTCGCTGTTTAAAACTGACACATTCACCCTTCATGAGTTTCTAGCACAAAGGTACGAACCTTCCAACGGAATGAAATGAAACTTTTTGTTCTCTGTTGAAATCGTCTTAGGTCCAAGTATTGTCACATTGTTGTTGAATTGTAAAATAGAAGGTTCGTGTCAAGCAAGAGCGAACAATTTGGTTATACAGGATTGTTTCATTTTGGAAAAACTGATTTTTCAACAATTGTTAAATACTCGCTGTTTAAAACTGACACATTCACCCTTCATGAGTTTCTAGCACAAAGGTACGAACCTTCCAACGGAATGAAATGAAACTTTTTGTTCTCTGTTGAAATCGTCTTAGGTCCAAGTATTGTCACATTGTTGTTGAATTGTAAAATAGAAGGTTCGTGTCAAGCAAGAGCGAACAATTTGGTTATACAGGATTGTTTCATTTTGGAAAAACTGATTTTTCAACAATTGTTAAATACTCGCTGTTTAAAACTGACACATTCACCCTTCATGAGTTTCTAGCACAAAGGTACGAACCTTCCAACGGAATGAAATGAAACTTTTTGTTCTTTGTTGATATCGTCTTAGGTCCAAGTATTGTCACATTGTTGTTGAATTGTAAAATAGAAGGTTCGTGTCAAGCAAGAGCGAACAATTTGGTTATACGGGATTGTTTCATTTTGGGAAAACTGATTTTTCAACAATTGTTAAATACTCGCTGTTTAAAACTGACACATTCACCCTTCATGAGTTTCTAGCACAAAGGTACGAACCTTCCAACGGAATGAAATGAAACTTTTTGTTCTTTGTTGATATCGTCTTAGGTCCAAGTATTGTCACATTGTTGTTGAATTGTAAAATAGAAGGTTCGTGTCAAGCAAGAGCGAACAATTTGGTTATACAGGATTGTTTCATTTTGGAAAAACTGATTTTTCAACAATTGTTAAATACTCGCTGTTTAAAACTGACACATTCACCCTTCATGAGTTTCTAGCACAAAGGTACGAACCTTCCAACGGAATGAAATGAAACTTTTTGTTCTCTGTTGAAATCGTCTTAGGTCCAAGTATTGTCACATTGTTGTTGAATTGTAAAATAGAAGGTTCGTGTCAAGCAAGAGCGAACAATTTGGTTATACAGGATTGTTTCATTTTGGAAAAACTGATTTTTCAACAATTGTTAAATACTCGCTGTTTAAAACTGACACATTCACCCTTCATGAGTTTCTAGCACAAAGGTACGAACCTTCCAACGGAATGAAATGAAACTTTTTGTTCTTTGTTGATATCGTCTTAGGTCCAAGTATTGTCACATTGTTGTTGAATTGTAAAATAGAAGGTTCGTGTCAAGCAAGAGCGAACAATTTGGTTATACGGGATTGTTTCATTTTGGGAAAACTGATTTTTCAACAATTGTTAAATACTCGCTGTTTAAAACTGACACATTCACCCTTCATGAGTTTCTAGCACAAAGGTACGAACCTTCCAACGGAATGAAATGAAACTTTTTGTTCTCTGTTGAAATCGTCTTAGGTCCAAGTATTGTCACATTGTTGTTGAATTGTAAAATAGAAGGTTCGTGTCAAGCAAGAGCGAACAATTTGGTTATACAGGATTGTTTCATTTTGGGAAAACTGATTTTTCAACAATTGTTAAATACTCGCTGTTTAAAACTGACACATTCACCCTTCATGAGTTTCTAGCACAAAGGTACGAACCTTCCAACGGAATGAAATGAAACTTTTTGTCCTTTGTTGATATCGTCTTAGGTCCAAGTATTGTCACATTGTTGTTGAATTGTAAAATAGAAGGTTCGTGTCAAGCAAGAGCGAACAATTTGGTTATACGGGATTGTTTCATTTTGGGAAAACTGATTTTTCAACAATTGTTAAATACTCGCTGTTTAAAACTGACACATTCACCCTTCATGAGTTTCTAGCACAAAGGTACGAACCTTCCAACGGAATGAAATGAAACTTTTTGTTCTCTGTTGAAATCGTCTTAGGTCCAAGTATTGTCACATTGTTGTTGAATTGTAAAATAGAAGGTTCGTGTCAAGCAAGAGCGAACAATTTGGTTATACAGGATTGTTTCATTTTGGAAAAACTGATTTTTCAACAATTGTTAAATACTCGCTGTTTAAAACTGACACATTCACCCTTCATGAGTTTCTAGCACAAAGGTACGAACCTTCCAACGGAATGAAATGAAACTTTTTGTTCTCTGTTGAAATCGTCTTAGGTCCAAGTATTGTCACATTGTTGTTGAATTGTAAAATAGAAGGTTCGTGTCAAGCAAGAGCGAACAATTTGGTTATACAGGATTGTTTCATTTTGGAAAAACTGATTTTTCAACAATTGTTAAATACTCGCTGTTTAAAACTGACACATTCACCCTTCATGAGTTTCTAGCACAAAGGTACGAACCTTCCAACGGAATGAAATGAAACTTTTTGTTCTTTGTTGATATCGTCTTAGGTCCAAGTATTGTCACATTGTTGTTGAATTGTAAAATAGAAGGTTCGTGTCAAGCAAGAGCGAACAATTTGGTTATACGGGATTGTTTCATTTTGGGAAAACTGATTTTTCAACAATTGTTAAATACTCGCTGTTTAAAACTGACACATTCACCCTTCATGAGTTTCTAGCACAAAGGTACGAACCTTCCAACGGAATGAAATGAAACTTTTTGTTCTCTGTTGAAATCGTCTTAGGTCCAAGTATTGTCACATTGTTGTTGAATTGTAAAATAGAAGGTTCGTGTCAAGCAAGAGCGAACAATTTGGTTATACAGGATTGTTTCATTTTGGAAAAACTGATTTTTCAACAATTGTTAAATACTCGCTGTTTAAAACTGACACATTCACCCTTCATGAGTTTCTAGCACAAAGGTACGAACCTTCCAACGGAATGAAATGAAACTTTTTGTTCTCTGTTGAAATCGTCTTAGGTCCAAGTATTGTCACATTGTTGTTGAATTGTAAAATAGAAGGTTCGTGTCAAGCAAGAGCGAACAATTTGGTTATACAGGATTGTTTCATTTTGGAAAAACTGATTTTTCAACAATTGTTAAATACTCGCTGTTTAAAACTGACACATTCACCCTTCATGAGTTTCTAGCACAAAGGTACGAACCTTCCAACGGAATGAAATGAAACTTTTTGTTCTTTGTTGATATCGTCTTAGGTCCAAGTATTGTCACATTGTTGTTGAATTGTAAAATAGAAGGTTCGTGTCAAGCAAGAGCGAACAATTTGGTTATACGGGATTGTTTCATTTTGGGAAAACTGATTTTTCAACAATTGTTAAATACTCGCTGTTTAAAACTGACACATTCACCCTTCATGAGTTTCTAGCACAAAGGTACGAACCTTCCAACGGAATGAAATGAAACTTTTTGTTCTTTGTTGATATCGTCTTAGGTCCAAGTATTGTCACATTGTTGTTGAATTGTAAAATAGAAGGTTCGTGTCAAGCAAGAGCGAACAATTTGGTTATACAGGATTGTTTCATTTTGGAAAAACTGATTTTTCAACAATTGTTAAATACTCGCTGTTTAAAACTGACACATTCACCCTTCATGAGTTTCTAGCACAAAGGTACGAACCTTCCAACGGAATGAAATGAAACTTTTTGTTCTTTGTTGATATCGTCTTAGGTCCAAGTATTGTCACATTGTTGTTGAATTGTAAAATAGAAGGTTCGTGTCAAGCAAGAGCGAACAATTTGGTTATACGGGATTGTTTCATTTTGGGAAAACTGATTTTTCAACAATTGTTAAATACTCGCTGTTTAAAACTGACACATTCACCCTTCATGAGTTTCTAGCACAAAGGTACGAACCTTCCAACGGAATGAAATGAAACTTTTTGTTCTCTGTTGAAATCGTCTTAGGTCCAAGTATTGTCACATTGTTGTTGAATTGTAAAATAGAAGGTTCGTGTCAAGCAAGAGCGAACAA